GAGTTGCGCTCCTGGGACGACTTTACGATAGTTCATTCGATTACATGAAATCAACTTTAACTTGAGAATATCCATCAGAAAAAAATCATAGCATGTAATTCGTCTTTAAAAAGACAAGCACATGACATGATGACAGTAACATTCTCCTGTTAGTGATTCCATAGTAAATTATGAGGGAAAAACCAGGAAAAAAACCTCATAATACTATCCCGACATTGTAAGTATTTGTTCGTGAATTTAGTTTACCTTCAACAAACATCAAAATTCTAATTTTATATGTTACGTTATTTTAAAAACATAAAAGATGTATCCTCTATATGTTACTGACTTATTAATGCTGGTATTTTCTTATTAATAACTTTCTCTTTCAATATTGGTAACCAGATCCTACTACATTCTGCCGAGGAATTTGCGACACAATTGGCCTCATTTAGCATAATTAGAGCCGCTTCTTTGATTTTTCTTTTTTTACCATCCGTTTCTTTTAGGACTACATTTGAATTATTCCATTGAACCCTATGTTCATTATCCCATGCGTGTTTACAGATTTGAAATCTATCAAATTCTCTATTTTTAATATAAGATCGATGTTCACTTATTCTAACATTTAATGGCCTTGATGATTCACCTACATAAAACTGATTTACGGGATTTACGGGTTTACGAGATTTGCCAACCATGACAGGAGTCAGTCTATGCGATCCATCCGCGTTAGCACAAAGCAGTGCCGAGATCCTGTCCTTGCTGATTTTTCTTCCAGGATTCGATTTTTCATATTTATAGGCTTGTATGCTTTCAGGAAAAGTATGCCATAATAAACCAGTTTCGTCAACATTGTAAATCTGAAATTCTAATAGCATTTTGTTACTTATATGTTCTATAATTTTTTGCCTAAAAGGTTCAATTTCTTCTTTTGATGCACTTGAAGCTTCGCCGTAAATTCTTTTATTCATGATTCCATTCCTTTTGCGAAAGCACCAGAGCCATCCATCACTTGCTCTGAATGGTATGTCCATATGATTTGCTTATTTAATTGCGGCAGATTTCAATTCAACCGCACGGACCGGGACCCCACTAGAACGTTGTTGGCCGTACCATTTTAAGATTGCTTCTTCCAGTGAAGTTTCACGAGCCAATTTCATTTGTTTTCTTGGATTGCTGTTCTCCTACATCACACATTATGCAAATTTATTTATTTTGATTTTGTTTTTCTTTATATCCGAAACAGTTTGCTTGAAACCCTGTATATTTTCATGTTTTTAAAAGCTCCTTAACAACCTGATTTCAACAAACTATATCATGTAGGGTCTATTATGAATAATACAAGGTGACATTTTGAAATTAGGTATTTTCTTCAAGACAATGAATTCATAGAATACCCGAGGTAATTGATTGGATTACATTAAAATAAATGCTCAACATGTTCTCCACCTTGTTGTTTGTAATAACACAGTCTCCTATAAAACTCGTTCCGAACGTTGTTTAAAGTTTGAGGTGAAATATTCCATATTTCTGTAGTTATCCTTTCTTTTTGAGGTCTTCAACGATAGTTGATTGTGTTGCATATACTTTATTCTTGAGATAACCCCACAAAAAATTCAAAGGCGTAAGATCTGGCGACCTAGCTGGCCACTCAATAGCCCTCTTCATCAAATGCACTTATTGAAGAAGATTTCATTCAAGTAATTTCTCACCATTAAAGCATAATGGGGTGTTGCACCGTCCTGCTGGAACCAGACAGTTTCATGCGGTAGGGTCGGATCTATTAGATTGGGATATAAGTTAGCCAACTAAGGAAGAACATCGTCTCTTAACATGCTTAAATATTTTTCCGCTGTCAAATTATCATCTATAAATATACGACCAATAATATGATCTCCTATACCTGCCCAAACATTCAACTTTTGAGGATTCTGTGTCTCACGCATCCAATGAGGATTCTCCGCTGACCAATATCTACAGTTTTGTCAGTTTATCTCTCCGTGAAATGTAAATTTTGATTCATCAGAAAAAATAATTGTGCCAAGAGATATTTCATTTGTTAATTTTATCCATCATTCTTTTGCAGAAATCAATTCTATGATCCGGATCGTCTTCTGTTAGCTCCTGCACAAATGTCAATTTATATGGATGAAGTTTTCTTCATGGAGACACATTAGGACAGTTGTGTGACTCACATTATTATGACGTGCAATTTGACGTGAACTTGACGTTGGATTCTCTGCGACACTTAACAAAATATCCACTTTCACTTCATCTTCAATGAAGTTCGATTTTCTTTTTAATGGTTTGATATGTCCAAGTTCTCTGAATTTTGCGTAAATTTTAGACACAGTACCTTGTGAAATATTAGGTAACTGTTAAGGTTGCTACTTAAACTTGACTTCTACAATTCTCTACGTAACCGATCATCATTAAAATATCAATTCGGTGGGCCTTAGTTAAATATTTCATTTTTATTTCTGCAAGAAATTAGTTTTTAATTAAGAATTTATTATTTTAATGTAAAATGTTAACAACATGTCAACTGATTGATAACAATCTGCATTATTTACCGATTTAGTTTAATTGGCAGACTATCTATACAGTTTTTACCTATTCACGACAAAAAAATGTTAACACGGTTACGAAACAGAAATTTCACAGTGTACTGACACTTACGAGTAGAAGTCTATTGTCTGTATTTAGCTAATTTAAAATAATACCATAACACGTGATAAATTATTAATTTCAAAATTTCACATTGTATTATACATTATAGACGCTACATGATATAGTTCATTGATATTAGGTTGTTAAAAGTGTTTTAAAAACATAAAAATATACAGGATGTTTCATTAAAAATAAGGATTATGGACTATGCCAGACTTGCTGGATCACCCTGTACATTTAAACTTATGTTTAAAAAGCGCACATTTAAATTTAAAAGTTAACGTGTTCCAGAGTTTTTTGATTATTTTCTATAATAAGGACACAAACAATTTTATTCCATAAGTGGTTTCCACACTGTATATATGAGACACAGACGTTCCTGACTTCAACTTTTGTATATTCTATAGTTTTTGATTGATTTGTCCATATTTAAAAAGTAGGTTTGCGACAATTATAAGTTATTTACTGGTGCACACTAAGTGTGTTCATTCATATCAAGTAAAAAAATAAGTCAAAGTGTTGTAAACACCCGTATATAATTATAAAAACCCACACGATATTATATCAGGGAATCCCCTTCTTCTTCTTCTTCTTTCAGTGCCCTGTCCGATTATCGAACGTTGGCGATCATATTGGCAATAATAACTTTATTTACGGCGGCTCTAAATAAATTAGCGGTGGTTTCTTGATACCATTCTCGGAGAGTTCGTAGCCAGGATGTTCTTCGTCAGCCTGGGCCTCTACTTCCGTCGATCTTACCCTGTATTATGAGGTGTAGAAGGTTATACCTCTCTGGATGTCTCATTACATGACCGAAATATTGTAACTTCCGAATTTTTATCGTTTTTGTTATTTCTGTGCTCTTTTTCATTCGATGTAAAACTATTTCATTTCTTATTCGATCAACCCAACTTATCCGCAGTACTCGTCGATAAATCCACATCTCAAAGGCCTCTAATTTTTTTATTAATATCTCTGTAAGGGTCCAGCTCTCCATACAATACAGCAATGTGGAGAATATGTAGCAGCGTATTAATCTGATTTTAAGGTTTAAAGTAATATCTCTATTAATTAGAATTTTCTTTAATTTATAAAAGGCGGCTCTGGCTTTTTCAATGCGTATTCTTATATCTTCATTTATATCCCAGTTATCGTTAACGTTTGCACCCAAGTAGGTAATATTGTGGACTCTTTCTAACTCTATTCCATACGCTCTATTTATAAGTCGTTGCAGGTCTTCTTCATTGGAAGTAATAAGTACCGTGTCGTCTGCATATCTGAGATTGTTAGGGAATCCCCTAATATGTGCTAATGCTGCAAGTAAGAAATTTATATCCCATTCCCATGTGTGTAAAAAGATGATAAAATATTATGTTTCTCTTATTTATTTATTTCTCAGCTAAAAATACATACATATGACTAATTCGAAAAATGTGTCCTGGCACAGCCACCTTTACTTCATGGTCCTAATTATGCTATAATAAACATTTTGCTGAAATTCTTTGTAAAATACAATGGTATGGGACGGTTTTAAGCATGTATAATATTAACAGGACGTTTTTAATTTTTTTTAGATTTGACCGGATTTTTGGTCCGTTATATCTAAAGTCCGTTAAATAGAGGTCTGTTATATCAAAGTTTTACTGTATTGTGCAAGTACTTACTTTACAATACGAAGCGATTGGAGAAAATGCGACACAAAAAGCATTCCCCTCAATAAAGGCAAACTGTCGTGTCATTACTGTTCGTACGATTTTCGGTACATTGTCGAAAGATGAAAATCATACAGATTAAATTACGTTCAAAAAATGTTTTTTATATTTTGTATAAAACATTAACAGACAGACTAACAAAGATTTAAATAAAAGATCACAAGTGAAGATATTGTACGATGAGAAAGAGAGAAAAGACAAGAATGGAACCAGCACTATATACTAATAATTGATAGTGAGAGACTAACCAAAGAACCAATATATTTATTACCAACAGGCACCAGATCACCAGGAATACCCTGTAAAGATGGCGAGATAGCTGATAGTTAAAATAACAAATAATATTATTGTAGTTTTAAGATCTGACAAGAACTGTAACCTAATATAAGGAGAAGTTGAAGAAGAAGAATTATATTTGTAATATCCATCTTTATAGCTATAAAGTGGTCGTTTGTTATCTTTATATAGAACTGAGCATCTTTTTACGCTGATTTAAATTCAATTTTAATGAAATGAAATGAAAGAAATTTGTGAGTTTACAAAAATGTCACAAATTAGTGGTCGAAAATATTTATTTCTATTATAAGTAATATGTAATTGGATATCTTCTTACTATAATATCTATTTATTTTACAGGAAGTTGTCTATCACGGATGTGCTTTTATACTTGTATTGGCTGCTAGTTTGACATTTGTCATCGAGATAAACCATTGGAAAAGGAATTATTATACCTCGGACTATGAAGCATATTTTGCAGCAGCAGTAAGTATCTATTTATATTTTACAACAATGTAATAAATTAACGAATTATTTTTTATTTTCGTAATAAATTTGATTTACGGCGCATTGCATCTTTTTTTTAAAGGAAGAAATAGTACATATTACAAAAAAATTCACACTTCTTTCGATTAAAACAACTCTCAGTTTTTTTTTTTGTTTTGCATATCTAGAATTATTAATCTTACTATGCTCCGAACTATTTATAAATATTTAATCGAATTCAGGTCATTTCTTTTCGAATGTTTACGTTTTTTAGTGGTTTTTTGTAGAATTTCTTCGAACTGATCTCTTTCATTTCCTGACTGTCATCGGTGGGAGCATAAACTCCTATTATGACTATATTACTTTAGGACACATGCTAACTGTTAATAAAAATGCAGTTTTTCGCCGGCCCCTTATAAACTAGTCGGTGCAGGCTATCAGGGCAAAATATTCACTGAATATAATTGTCTCTCTAATGACATTGGACAGGATACACACAATAAAATAAAATTTTATGTGTGCTAATACAGGGGTTGCTTGTGCTCTAGATGGCAGACTGGTGTTAATTGTTTTAGTGTAATTGATTTTTACAGAAAATCATCAGGAGAGGACAGAATACCGAACGAACTCCTAAAATACGAAGGACCAGATCTGACTAAACAACGACTAAAACTAATCCAAAAAATAATAGAACAAAACAGAATTCCTCAAGAATGGAGATCACGCATTCTAATGTCTCTCTTCAAAAAGGGAGACAAATCGGAACCTGAAAATTACAGAAAAAATAATTTATTAAACACTACACTTAAATTAACAAAGTGATGAACAAAATAAATTATATGTAATAATAATACTAGCAGAAGAACAACAAGGTTTTAGGTCGAGCAAATCATGCATTATAAGGAGGCTAGTGCAATAGAAATCATAAAAATACAACAAACTGGCATATATATATTTCGAGGACCTTAAAAAGGCATTTAACTGGGTCAAATTAAAGAACAATATCCATATTGTACGAAACAGAGATACCTCTAGCAATAATAAAAAATCGAAAATATCTACCAAAATAACACAATAAAAGTACCTAAATTAAAAGAAAAAATAACTGCATCTAGGTTTAAGTATCTAGGCATCACATTATTTAGCTAGGAAAAGCTCAAAACAGTGGAAGATCAAGTAAATAAAGCAAACAGAGCCGCAGGTTGCCAGAATGAAACCATATGGAGAAATAAAAATATCGGGAAAGAAATAAAATTTTAAAAACAAAAAAGGATGTTGGAAACAGCAGAGATTAAAACACTTAAAAAATTGATGATGGCAAAACACTATGGGACAGAGCTAGAAGTACAGATATATGGCGTAGATACAAGGTAGAGAATGATGCACTGGTTAACAAATAGAAGAGTAGAATGAAATGATTATATAAGCCGAATGACAACAAAAAGAGTAGTAAAGACGACAAAGGACATTTCTCCAATAGAAAGACAGTAGGAAGACAAAAACGATGGATTAACTTACTGGAGACATATTGAAAAACAGACAGGGCCATGTCTACATGAAAAAGAAAAGAAGTTGGTTTTTGGTATAATAAACGTGTTGATCTTAAAGAAAAAGTCCTTAAGTGTGGTGTCAGTGATATTTACATCACTATTTAACACATTTTTTATTCCAATATAGGGAAATTAGTGATAGTCTCTAATGATACCGTTGCCGTACTTTTTAGGGCTCCCATGACTGTGCTGCTCTGATACTGTACGTTGAGTCGCCTCCACTTAAGGCAGAACAGACTGGATAGGGAAGTTACGATCCACGACCCTGCATATTCCAATGGCTAATAGGGTACGTCCTATGGTTATATAGGACCACAGGACAGGTGTGAATAAAATATAGCCAAATTAATACCCGCCAATAGAATAGAATAGAAATATGCTTTATTGTCACTGAAAATTATTGAACAATTTATGGACAAAGCTAAAAAATAAATCAGTCAAATAATACAAAAAGTATAAAACAAAAACAATATAGTAAAAAACAGAATAACACAATTTTAAATTAGTAAAATTATTGTATAACCTACATAATTTGTACAGACAACAACAAATGAGACAAATCGTAGCCACTGCTTGAGACACCCAAATGTAATTATAAACAATACTAATTTTGTTTCTTTGTTATACATTAAGAAACTCGTCAACTGAATAATATGGTCTTTCTGAGAGATAGATTTTTGTCACCTTACGAAACTTAATGAAGGATGTTGCGGATTTAATTTCTCTTGGAAGGTGATTATAAAGTTTCTTTGCACGATATAGAATAGAATTCTTTACTAGCTGAGTGGACGGGATCGGCAAATAAACGTTACAATCCGAATTTCTAATGGAGTAGCCATGGTCAGGTCTATCGGGAAAAATGTTTAGATGCTTTCGAATCAAACAAACCGTTTCCAAAATAAATAAAGAGGGAAGCGTCAAAATTCCGTGATTTTTGAAGTAGGTCTTGCAATGAGTTGTTTGTTTGAGACCAAATAGATAACGGATTGCTCTTTTTTGCAACTTAAAAATAGTATCAAATTGGGCCGCTGTACTAGAACCCCAAAATGGAAGCCCATATCGAGGATGGGACTCGAACAATGAGAAATATGCCATTTTGGCAGAAGATAAATTTAGTTCCTTCGAAACAGATCTTATTGCAAAGCAAGCTGAGGCTAGTTTCTTCCTTAAGGAGTTAGTATGCAAGGATTAATGAACTGAGAATATGACATAGACTGGAAATATGTCATTAAACGCTGGCAAACTCGGGGATTTATAGCATTGGCACGGTATGGACGGACTATTCAGCATTTCTTCCCAACTAATGAGAATCAAATGGACACGACTCAATACACAAATAAAAATATATTGTAAAGTGCAGTGTACAATTGGCGGCTTTCAGAGGGAGAAAAAAGGGCTCTTGTATTAGTGAGACTAAGGGCTTTATACGACTATACAACCAGTTTTCTCCGCCATCGTACTGATCTATACATTACCCTTCGTCGTATCACTGACGGGTACAGCCAACAGTTCACATTTGCTTTCAATTTATCATCATCATGCAGCCTCTTCTGTCCACTGCTGGACATAGGTCTCTTCCATTTTTCGCCACTCTTGACGGGTCTGTGCGTCTTGTTGTCATTTTTTGGATATTCGTTTAATGACGTCCATCCAGTGTGTTGGTGGTCGTCATCTGCTGTGTTTGTCTTCTCTTGGGCGTTAGTCAATTAGTTTTCTGGTTCGTCTTTTAGTCTCATTATGTGATCTGCCCAATTCTATTTCAGCTTGGTTATACATTCGACGACATCAATAATACCTGTTCTTTTCCTTAGGTCTTTTTCCTTATTTTGTCTTTTTTGTCATGTTGAGAATCGATCTTTTCATGCGCCTTTGTGCTACTCTCATTTTTAGTGCTGTTGTTTTAGTGAGTGTGAGAGTTTCTGCGCCGTATGTCATAATAGGAAGAACGAATGAAAGAAACAATGCTTTCTTTTTCTTTGATTTCTCTTCTAGTTTCCATTAGTTGCTTTATTTCAACGGATATTTTTTCACCTTGGCGTCTTTTAGGGCAGCATTTTACTTGAGCCTCTCAAAAAGCTTCTACGATATATTCGTTTAGGGTATTTACATTATTTATGCATTCATTTTGTTGTAGGATTTTATTGATATTGTCTTGGTATTCATTTAAATTCGTTGGGTCGTTCCACATCGTGTTGGCTTTCTTCCTAATCATTTTGAATCTTTCTCAATTCCAAGTCTATTGGCTCTTACCATTCTATGATCGCTGCCTGTGGTAAAGCTATTAAGGACTGTGACATTGTTGAATAAATGTTTTTTGTCACTGATTATGTATTATCTCGTTTCTGATCTTGCCATCTAAGCTTTTCCACGTCCATCCTCTGCGGACGTGAAAAAGCTTAAAACTGTGGTTTTTAGAGAAGAAACTATTCATCTGGTATGGATTTTGTTGTAATAGAAATTCTAGTAGTGTTTGTTCACGCTCGTTTCTGCCTTTGGATCCAAATTTACCTACTGTTGTTTCCTGTTCATCCTTCTTTAGACCGATGTTAAAGTCGCCGCATATAATCGTGTAGTGTGTTAGTGTTTCTTTCAGTGCCGTTGAGATATCATCGTAGAATTCTTCAATCTGCTCATCCGGATGGTCCGTTGTTGGAGCATATACTTGAATAACCTTTATTTAAGACCTTCGGTTTAGCTTTACGATTAAATAGGCTACTCTTGTGGATATTCTTCTTGTAATTACTGTGTTACATGCAAGTCCTTTGTGTATAAAGAAACCGACTCCCCCGATTGATTCGGTTTCGATACCTATACTGTAAAATATATGTCCTGATTTTAGTGTTATCAGGTTTCCTCCGTGTCGCCTTACTTCATTGACTCCAATCATGTCCCATTTTACTTTTGATATCTTGACTTCCATTTCGGTGACTTTTTCTTCAGATAATAATGTTCTGGCATTGTAGGTACAGGAAGTACCGATAGCTGAGATAATTTGATATAAAAATGGTTATTAGCATTTTTTGTGTAGAATGAAGGATAAACTATTCTCTCAGAAATAATGCTTGAAGCGACCGGCAATTTTGAATGTCAGTTGAATATAACCAGCAAGTTTGAAATTAAATTTTTATCAACCTCCTCTGTGGCTCAGTGGGAAGAGCGCCTACCTTTGAATCTAAAGGTCGTGAGTTCGAATCTCACCTGGGTAGAGAAATTTTCGTTTATTAAAAATTAATATGAAAATAATTTCCATCCTTGTGCGATCGGTTCTCACGGAGGGACCGCAGACGGTCGGATACAATTAGCGTCTCTTAGCAAAGACAATGACGTCGACTTTGTTAAGTATCAAGACAATTATTCTACACACACACTACACTCTACACTAGGTACCTGACTGTAAAAATTCACTGTACCGTGCCAATGACCATTAGTTGTCGACACATTAAACTCAATAAAAAAAAATTATCAAATCGACGGTCAACATTTGATATCTTTTGATTAAAATTTCTTTTACGACAAAAGTCAAAATGTGTTTTATATGTGAAGAGTGCAGCTTTCGTATGCTATTGTTGCATTTTGCTCCAAATAAAATCAGTTTCTATAAAGCTGTCAAATAAATAATAGTTGCGTGATATTTTCCTTTTTTTACCATTTTCATAAGATCAATAAAATTTATCACTTGTATTGACCAATCGTTATAGAATTTCCATTTTTGGAGATTAATATTCAAAACCTTTAACATGAAATTTAAATTTTGAGTTTTGGCAACAAATATGAGACATTTGAATATGTCTAAAAAACGCTGAATTTAAACTTTCACATTACAAACGACCTGACGTCACGGGAAATGCTTCCAGGAAGACAGCATTTGGTTTAATTAATAGCTAAAGTTACAGAGTTTTAAAAAACGTACTTTTATTAATCGAAAACAATAGTTTTAAACGTTTTAGATTATCTGAAGTGTGAACGATTAAATTCAGAGATTTTTAAACATATTCAAACTTAGACTAATGAAACCGTTAATCGTTTGTATTGTTTCATTAATATAAGTATTCAAATTTATATTTATTTCTAACACTCAAAATCGAAATTTCATATTATAGGTTTTGAACATGGAATCAATGGAAATTCCGTAGTGACCGGTCAATGGAAGTGATTCATTTTATTGATCTAATGAGCAAAAAAAATCACGCAGTGTTTATTTATTAAACAGCTTTACAGAAACTGACTTCATTTACAGAAAAATGCAAAAATTTCATACCAAAGCACACATTTTGGTTTTTTTTTTGTCAATAGGACACTCTGATCAAAAGATTTCTAATTTTTACTGTCGAGTTGACACAAATTTTGTTTAAAAATTTTAATTCGCGCGCATAACTGAGATTCAAATTTATCTTGTTCGTATAATTTTGCGCCTTTTTGTCTCTGACGACTGTATAGTTTATTTTTATGAACGAGAGAGTAATTAGCATAATTTTAACTGGTACCTCCGACCACTCCATGGGCGTGCTCAAGATTAATTGAAAAATTACTTTAAATAATTGTAAAAAATAAATGAATTATTTCAGTGTTATAAAGTGTTATGTGTATGTAAACAAAAGTGACCTCTTTTATCACACACTGTATTAGAACTGACTGGCCTACATTAAAAAGGGTTTTAAAAAATTCACATTTTTTTTAATTTTTAAAAATTACAAAAGAGAAAAAGAGTTTTTAAAACCGTCTAAGGTATGTTAAATAGATGAATAAACATATTAATATAAAACTTACAGCTACTTGTTACAAATCCAAATCAGATTCAGAAGATGAACTTTCAGAACCAAGATTTATAATAACTGGCTCGATCATTTTATCAGTAATATTGTCCAGCTTCCACATTTTTTCCTCTTCTTTAATAGTGTGATTTACTGCCTTTTCCTAGTTTTCAAGTTTTACATTATTTACGGCCTCCAAAAACAACTGTTTAACATAATGAATTTTAAAAGTGGTATTTTTTCGTGAAACTTCACTCTTTATCTGTGCCCATACCAGTTCAATCGGGTTTAATTCACAATGATATGGTGAGGATCTAAGTACTGTCATTCCACGATTTTTACCAATTTCATCAATTTCGTATTTTTAAAATTTTTCTTTATGAAGGGCACACAACGAATAGTGGTACGTAATATTTTTTGAACTCAGCCAATTCTGCAAGTAATAATAAACCACCTTCAACAAAACCGTCTGAACTGCCAATGTGTACTATTATCAGCCTGCGTCCCTTTCCTGATGGTGGGTTTAAACCAGTAGATAAGTTATTTACAAAAGCGTGCCTTTGACTTGTAACAGTTTCATCCTGCCAAAATTTATTTGGTGTATGACCCTCGTTGATCCATGTTTCATCAAGATAAAATATTTTTCTTTTTTGGTTTCTCATTTCCTTTATGGGTCTTAGAAAATGTCTTCTCCATATGACAATATCGCTTCTTTCTAATAAAATAGACTTTCTGGGATTCTTTTTCCAGCGGAAGCCTAATTCTTTTAAAAGTTTCCATAACATACTTCGACTCATTTCTGGGTAATCCTTATCATCTCGAACTGAGACAAGAACTTTATCCAATGTTGGAAATTCTTGTCTAACGAAGAATTCATGCACTTTCCGTCGAAGTCCTTCTTTAAAATGATATTCTATTTGAAATTTTGGTTTCCCTGGAGCATTACGTGGCATTTGAAAACTACCACATTTCTCTTCTTTAATAACTCTGTAAATCGTAGATTTTCCAACACCAAGTGTACTGCTAACTAACTCAACGGTCTCATCAACACTTTCACATAAACGTTTGTCTGTAGATGATTTAAAACAATTAAATATTAATGTTTTTTCATTAACTGTTAAAGGACCAATTTTTCGGCGTTTACACGGCACTTCCAAATTTTCCATAACACTAGTATACACAATAAACTGCACCTTGCAACTGAAGTATCTACTTTTAGTGAACTGTTAAGAATTTTGAATAAGCCACTTGGACCTTCCTACAAAATGGAAAAACCCACTATCACATTTTCTGTGGAATAAGTTTAGAATTTAATTATCTAGTCAATTACTGTCGTAGATTCCTGGAATTAAAGAATTAAATGTTTTATTGTTGAAACCCTTACTTCGTGGAATGCACTCATTTCAGATAAAATAAAACGTTTTATTTTATCTAAAGAATTAAACTTTATTTTGCAAATAGGTAGGTACTTATTAAACTTTTATTGTATATAAATTGTTTATAAATTTATAAATTCATTAGTACCTGTTAACCTCCATCACTCCGACACTGGCAACCTTATTTAGGGATTAGTAACCCTCACAACTATTGTATTCTATTCTGCTCCAACCTTTATACCTGGTGGTCATACTCAATTTAAAATTGTTTTCCTATATACTTCTGTAAACGTGTTGACAAATATCTGTTTTTCATTGAGTTACCCGTATCAACAGTTTAGGGATTTGCATACATAATTTATTGTTTTATTACTCTCTCATACATAAAAATACACTATAGTAATTGTCTCCACAACTAAAATAATCAAATAGTGAAGCATAACCTATATTTTTGTATAAAATCTACTTAAACAATTGTTTACACAACTATACTGCATTACCTATTCATTATTATTAAATCTTATTACTATAATTACAATTATTTTATCTCATTTTTCAGGTAATTGGATTGGTAAATTCAGTACTCTACCTATTAAGTACAATCTTCGCCTTAAGAAGCTACAGAGGTCTTTAATTGTCTCCTATTAGAAATTTTTGTTAACTATTTATTTGTCACGGTTTGACTCACTAAGTTAAGAAAATAATTATTTTGTAATATATCAGCAAGATGCATACCAGGAAAAGTTAATGTATTTTTAAAAATACACATTGAATAATATCAGGTCAATTCTTTCTTTGCTCCATAATAAAGTGTTTGGATTCTATTTATATAGTAAATGTTTACTCTTAACGTAAAATTGTAAGGTTATAATTTTATTTTAGAGTAAAGTGACAAATTATAAATTTAGAAGTCTCTGTATCTCTGGTACGGATGCCTATAACGTAAATTATCCTTAATGATTATAATGTGGAAGTTTCTTTAATTTATTTCAGATTGTTAGACCGCATTCCAAAATAACATGTGAAATATTACAACAATTTTATACCTTATATTAACACCTTTTTGGTAGTCCTTCAAAATATGGCTACGATAGTATAACACATTTATGTATAAAAACGTAAATAAAACATTTGTCACTTATAATGATAATATTTAACGGCGACCCTGATTCAAGCGTATTTACATAATAACTAATAAGGCAAACACACCAAATCAAGTTTCAAGAGATAAAATTGCTAATCAAGTAGGTAAAATACCCGAAGTAATGATAAGCCATAAGCAATGAAATATAAGGGCAAATGACTAGCAAAAATAAAAAGATTAAAATTAAAACTTCTAAATATAGATTTGTTTTTAATGGAAGGTGGCTAAATTAAGCATCTCCATGATATTGTAACTGAAATTAATTTAATGTTTATTAACGAAATAAGTTACTGCCAATGCTATACAGATTTCACTTCAGGCCTGTTTTTATAAAATACTACCAACCATAAAACTAAAAGATCTATACTTTTTAAATTAAAGAAAACTTAACAGTTGTAGTACTATCAAGCGAATTGGTGAAATACTGCATATTTTACCATTTTTATATCATAACACCAAAAGAACCTCTCTAATATTTATCAAAAGCCATACACAATCCTTTCCTACACATTTTCAGTTATTATGAAACAATGAAGCGTAGACTGCGTATGTGTAAAAGAATTGAGGCTTCGAGATGTAGGCTTTCCGCTAAATGTTAATATCGTGGATGGACAGAGTGATAAATGCGAAAAAGAATACAATGCAGAAATCATGTTGATTTGATATTGATTGAGAGAAAGTACTCGTGTTCAAGGTAAAAACAAATTTGAATATATATATATATATATATATATATATATATATATATATATATATATATATATATATATATAAAGATTGCATTTCATTTTAATTCGAATTCCGAAATTGTTTTGCACGTGTTTCGAGTTATTCAACTTCATCTTCATCAGGAACACCTGTGGAAGTTTAAACTGAAATAATGCAGTATTTGGCCGTTATAGTAACAATAACTACATGAGTATGCTAGCAGCGACATCTATACGAAGCAACATAAAGTCGGGAGACCTGTTTCATTTTATCGTTTAAACAATTCAAGTACAAAAAGTAAACGTATTGGCAGGATGTCTAAATCACACTATATGGCGAAACAAACACATTAACACTGAGAAGAAATCAAGAATTTATAAAGCCAGTGTAAGACTAATAATGACATATACCTCAGAAACAAGACCCGGCACAGCCACAACGCAAAGGCTGCTGGAAATGGCAGAGATGAGAGCACTGAGAAGAATTTCAGGAAATACTCTGAGAGATCGAAAGAGGAGTAAATACATTAGAAGACAATGTAACATACTCGTACAGTGTACAAACGAATGAACACTAAACAGAAAAAATAATGGAATAGCCACATAACTAAAATGGGGGAGACCTGTGGTTAAAATGGCAAGAGATAAATCACCAATCGGTAGAAGTATGGAACGGCCGGAACAGATAGAGAAAAGAAGAAGAATGAACAGAGATAACCCGGACTATAAAGCGCTCAACAGAAGCGTTAAGAAAAATATTCGAAAAGACCTCAGAGTTTATAGAACAAACCAGATTCCTGAAACCATAGAAAACAATAAGAACATGAAAGTACTAAAAACATGTAAATCCACTGGCAGGAATAAAATTATAAAGATAAAAGACAACCGTGGAAATTGTGCTCGCATAAGGAAGAGATCGTTAGAGAAATCCGAAAATTTTATGAGAAGCTGTATACTTCTACTATTCCGAACCCCGGTATACCAACAAAACATATCTTAAATGTGGGCTCAGAGGACTTCCCTGAAATAATAACATCAGAAATTAGAGCCGCCCTAAAACAAATGAAAAATGGGAAAACACCAGGAGACGATAAAATTACTTCAGAGATGCTAAAAATGGGAGGCACTGCATTAGAAGAAGCAATAAGAGCATTACTTAATAAATGCTTATTGGAAGGACAAATACCGAAGACATGGAAAAATGCGGAAGTCATTCTACTCCATAAAAAAGGGGACGCCGCAAATATAGAAAACTACCGACCAATAAGCTTACTGTCACACCTTTACAAACTACTAACCCGATTAATAACAAATAGATTGACAGCTAAACTAGATGCATACCAACCAGTGGAGCAAGCAGGCTTTCGTAAGGGTTTTAGCACTATCGATCACTTGCAAACAATTCGGACCATTATTGAAAAAACAATAGAGTACAACATACCACTACATCTGGCATTTGTCGATTATCACAAAGCATTCGACAGTATCGAGAACTGGGCTTTCTTAACAGCATTGGACGACGCCAGAGTAGATTCAAGATATGCTGCCCTCCTTAAGAATATATACGATGATGCTACTTTTCACGTAAAAATAGATGATGATCTGGAAACTATGAAAATAGACCTTGGCAAAGGTGTGAGACAGGGCGACACCATCTCACCCAAGTTATTTACTTTGGCATTAGAAAATGTTTTCAAACAACTAAATTGGGCCGAAAATTGATTAACAATAGATGGAGAATATCTTAACCATTTGCGTTTTGCAGACGACATAGTACTAATAAGCACAGATATCCATGAACTAAATTCAATGCTACAAGATTTAAATCACAAATCGAATCAAATAGGATTAAAAATGAATCTCGACAAAACAAAGATATTAAGCAACAGCCTAGAAAACATCACGATCGATAACATCAATATAGAAAAGGTAGAACAATATATATATATATATATATATATATATATATATATATATATATATATATATATATATATATATAGGACATGCAATTAAAAACGAAAAGGAACATCAAACCCTAGAAATTAAAAGAAGGACACAATTATCATGGGCTGCTTTTGGTAAGTTAAGCTTCATTTTAAAAGACAGAAAAACCCAATTCACTTAAAACAAAAAACCGATGACACTTTCATACTACCAGTTGCAACTTATGGATTGGAAACTATGGCAATAACAAGAAAAATGGCAGAACAATTAAGAGTAACTCAACGGGTCATGGAGAGGGCCATGTTAAATATAAGCCTCAGAGACAAAATTCCTAACACCGAAATACGTCGAAGAACTAAAGTAACCGACATCATGGGAAAAATAGCGACATTGAGATGGCAGTGGGTAGCACATGTAGCAAGACAAGACACCAACAGATGGTCTCATAAAGTGACATTCTGGAGACCTCGAGAAACAAAAAGAAGCATGGGAAGACCTAAAACGAGATGGATAGACGATATAACTGCTGTAGCTGCAAAGCAGTGGATGAGAATTGCAAAAGATAGGGAAGCGTGGAAGCAATTGGAGGAGGCCTATGTCCAACATTGGATAAATGAAGGCAGAAGAAGAAGAAGATGGAACGACCGCGCAAAAGATAAATTGATAACCTTTCAAAGAGGTATCAATTTACCAATAAACAAACAGAATTGCTTATAAAGAGGAAGAAGACTAATATAGAAAATAATAAGATTTTTGCAACTGTAATTTTAGATGTTATGTGGACAAGTTCATACCATTTTACTCATTTACTCATTTTATTTTAAATAGAACACTAAAGTAAGGATAATTCTTATAATATGAAGATTATTCTTAATTACAACATTGTTCATTGAAGTTTTCCATGTTCATATTATAATTTGGTACATCGGAATGCCATCATAGTGCTTGAAGTCACTATCATGAACAGGAGTCAAATCAGTGATGTATTATTATAGAAGATCTGACCGCCACTATCGTAATGATATGTGTTTTTTGAATAAAGGCTTACTTTTCACATAGTTAAATTTATCGGTGAACTGACAACGACATAAAAAAGGCAATTGATTTGGAAAAACCAAACGTAATAAAGATCGTATCACCGAATTTATATTTTTCTAGAAATATTTACATTATGAAGAAGGTTTTGTCTTTTTGATTATTACAAGAACTAAATACTTTTAGTAAATATACAAGTAGTAAGTGGATACGAGGCCACTCCTTTAGTCCCATAAAAATATAAAGAACCGTTAAACGTTCTATAATATTTCGTTTGATATATGGACCGTTTATTTATGCATTACTATTTGTTGATAAATTACTCGGAATTGATACGAAAAAATACATTAACTTTCCAAAAACCCCAAACCACAATGATAATGTAGATTGTAGAACTTTATTTATTTTTGTTTTCAAGTTAAAAAAATTATTGTTTTCCACTATTATGTTTTGGTATTGTATCGTCTCCATTCAACTTTTACATTTGTTTATTTACACCCTTGCGTAAATTATCAGTATCTGTACTTGTTAGTCCATACCAGGGGCTCAGAACGGAACTGATAAACAAAAACATAATATTTTGGAATTTAAATATTGTAAAACTCTTGTTATCGACAAGTTTTATTATTGGTTTGCATCTTGTTGATGTTCTTTTTGACTATGTAAGACAATTTATCATGTACTTCCAGTCATTGTACTCGTTTTAGTGACTTTATACGCTGCCATAATTCCGCATTTTAACTGTGCCTTAAGTGTAAGCTTTTTATATATGGGTATATATTAATATATTTTACATCAGTAGTGTACCTAATAATTTTATAGCAATATTTTTATATTTTATTAAAACTGAAATTTAAGTAAGATAAGAACCAACTTTTATAAAATGTACTTAAAAGTATTAAGTAGGTACGCTACTATGTATTTTGTATAAGTTTTAGAAATTAGAACTATCTGTAGGTGCCTCTAAAGATAATTAAAACCATAATAGAAAATTTAAATTTCATCATGTTTTTATTTAGTGTTGCTTGAAATAAGAGTGGACTGCTTGCACTATTTCATATGATGTACTAGTCATACACATATTTTCCTACTAGCCATATTCCTTATTCTTTCTATTTTGCTTTGCATTATGACGTACAATAGTCATATCTAAATGCCTCAAATATTTCAACTTAATGTTTTTT